TATATATATATATAAATATTGACTTTTAACACTATTTTATCACATTATACTAAAAATATATTACAGATTTTGAATTGTGAATCATTCTCGAAGCCTTAAAAGTTGATAAAATTAAATTAAATTATTAGTTTTATATTAAATCGATTAACAAATATTGTCAAATATGTGAGATATAATAATTTCTCCCAAGACAATGTGATGTTGCTGCTTGTCATTAAATTACCTAGATTTACTCACATGTGTTTTCTTTAGCTGTGAATCATTGTTGTGCTGTGTTTTCAACGAATCCTATCATTTTTCCCTCCCACAATGTACATACGGTTCGATTATTTTATTATCAAAGGAAGATATGTGCAATTTTTTCTCATGATTTCTCTTTCATCTTAGTGTAGCTGTACATTGCTGTTATGTGATGGACGAAAAACTGTTGTATTTATTATTTTCTTCTTAGAAGAAGGCGAAGGATAGCAAAAACAAAAAAACAAAACTCTTGTTCTTTTATATGGTCAAATGATAGAAAATAATCCATGGAGCTAGTAATGAATTTGTGCTATTTTTAGAATAGCTCATAATTATGATATCATCCATATTCCATACTCCAATTGGTTTAATTGACATCATAATGAATGCCTTTTTTTTTTTAATAGATTTGTTGGTCTTTTCACTCACATAAATTGCTTATATATATATATATATAATTAGTATTTTAATTTATGTAATATACGCGGAGCACCAAGAAAGTAAAAACATTTAATTATTTTATTTATTAATAATTTATTTGTATAAATAAATAACTTAAAACATATAAGTCATCTTTTAATTTATGAATAATAAATTATATTATGATATATAATTATTTTATTTATTAATAATTTATTTTAAATATGTTAAATTTAATTTATAAATAATTATAATAAATAAAAATTAAATTAAATAAAAATTTAAAAAAAATTTTAAAAAAATTTCATAAAAAAAATTCTTACGTATAATATAGAGATTCATATTTAATATGTAAAAATTGATTTAAATAAAATCATCAGCACACTTATTCTTATTTGTTATTTATTAGATATGGAAAATTTCGATTTTCTTTTGTAGGATTTATTGCTGAGCTTCTAGCCAATTGGCTCACAATTTAGCACTTTTAATGGACTCACTTAATGAGACGTGATCATTTGGGAGTCTTATTGGGATGAGTTACCGAATTTTATTTAATTGGTTGATTTTTTTTTTTTTTTTATCACCATCCATTTATTTTAATAATATACTAAACGGTTAAAAAGTTTAGAGTTTTTTTTAACGCATTACCTTAAAATAGGGTGTGTTTGGAAAAGCAGAAGACTAAGAAAAATAAGAGAATTACGTGAAAGTTAAAAAATTAAGTACTGTTTGATAAAAGAAAATTAAGAATTGTAAACTTGATATGTATTAAAAAAATTTAATCATTAAAGTTTGATATAAAATATAAGTTAAAAATGAGTTTATATATGCTTATTCTCATAAATAAATAAATAAATATATATATATATATATATATATAAATATATAAACATAATTTCTATATATATAACAAACATAATTGTATATACTTATATAATTTTTATTTATTTTTAAAATAAATAATTTAAATATAAAAATAATAAAATAACTATAATAATAAATAAAATTTAATGTGCTAAAATTTATTAATTTAATTTAATATTAATTAATTAAAAAAATATTTTCTCTTCATCACTTCTTTTCTATTAAACAACTTAAATTTTCACTCTATTTCTTTATCTTTCTTCTTCTTCTTCTTCTTCTTCTTTTTCCTCTTCTCTTCTCATCTTTTTCCTTTATTTTTCCCCTTTTACCAAATACAACATTAACTTTAAAACTAAAATCTCCAAAAAAAAATATCTCAATCATATTGTTTACATTACTAATTATATATTTTTGCTATCAAAAATAAATCATAAGAAATTTAATTATCCAGCACCTAGATCAATTAATATAAAATGGTGTTAGTTTAATCGGTTGTCCCAAGTTGAAGCTCTAAATATATAGATGTGTTAAATAAAAAAAATTATTATTTATAATATTTTTATTACTCAATTCGATCCAACAGGATAAGGATCGTCTCTTTGAACAAATATGTGTCACTACCCTAAAAAATAAAAATCCACACTCTTGAATATATACAAACAAAATATCAGTTAATCACATGTACAATTAACTTAAATATGAGGAAATCTCGACAAGCTTCACCTTATTTAATAAAATCATCCTCAATTAATATTTTTAATGATTTTTTTTTTATTTTTTCTCGATTAATATTTTATTTTTAATGGTTTTTTTATTTATTCTTGAGGTCAAGTTTTATTGAGAATAGTTTAGGGTAAAAGCTTTATTTTTTAAAATGAGATTGTATAATTATAAATGATATCAACTATATAATTTATTAATTAGTATAAATTATCATAAATTAGTTTTTTTTATTATATTCAAGATTTGAGGAATATAAAATACTTAATTTAAATTTATAAATTTAAATAAAATATATCAATTATAATGACTTTAATTTATAACTATTAATAAAGAAAATATTCTTTTTAATAATTACTTCTGTCTTCATTTTTTTTAATCTTTTTATCCACTCAATTATACAATAACTTTTTTCTAAATATACACTATAGGAATAAAATAAAAAAGTATATACTATTTTGTAACTTTGTGTGCAACTATTACACAAATGCACAAAATGTCTCGACTAAGTGGTTTAACATAATGTCAATTACCTTAGCCGGTGAAATTGTTTGCATTGCGAGTACGTGCTATAAAATCACAGCCATTGCCTCGCATTTCCCACAAACGCAAACATGTCATTGACATTATCACCAACGCTCTCCAAACTCTCTCTGTCTCTTGTTTTGCTCATCTTTGTGTCACTTTCTTCCTCGTATGCATCTTTTAGCCTCGTCCATGACGATGCTGGTTCTGTCCCACGAATGATCGTGGAGAAGAAGTTCTCATTTCTTGGTAATGCTGGGCCTCCGGTTCAAGACCTTGGTCACCATGCAGGTTACTATTCACTTCCTAATTCCAAATCTGCAAGGTAAATACTAAATGTATCCCTCTTATGTAGTTTCATATCACTTTGTCTCTTGGAAAGACATGATGTGAGATTAATTATTCAGAGTAAACGTCATGGGTGATGAGTCAAAGTGCTTTGCAAAAAAAATAAAATGAATAGTTTAGAAATTTCAAACACTCTCCCTTCTTATTCTATTAGTTTTGAAATAAAGATAAAAAAGAAAATGATTTAATGAAAGAGATAGAAAGTTAAGAGAAACTTCTAAAAATATTTTTGTATAAAAAAAAATCTTTAAAATACTATTGTTCAAGAATAACATCTTAGAGTATGTATCTTTCAAAAATAATTAAATAAGAATTAAAAAAAAAACGTTCATCGAAATATAACTTGAGATTTACTCAAAACCTCTCATAAATAATGTAATCGTCCATTTCGATATATTGAAAATATTGTAAAAATTGAAATTTCAAAAAAATAATAATATATATATATATAAAAATATATATATATATATATTTAAATGAGTCAAATTTGAACAACTTTTTTTATTATCAAGTCAAACATAAATTTTTAGTGTACTTACACCTCTAATCTTAAGAAATTTTAGTTCATGATAAATATTGGTCCTATAAATAATATGTTAGTGGATATAATTTGATTTTACCATGACGAGAAAATCAACACAATAATTATAACTCAGTAATAAGTAGAGGAAATAAATTTTATCCAACTTACAAGAATCTAAAAAGTATCACCAACAAAAATAAAGCATAAAAAGAGACTCAAATGCATAAGAGAAACAAATTTTTTTAGCATGAAATAACTCCTCAATGTAAGCATAAAAATTACAAACTATCCAAATCAAATAATAAATAATTTCAGTATGATCAACAAGGTTCAAAAGAATCTCCAATTAAAGCACCAAAATAGTTCTTATGATAAATCAAAGCAAACCAAACAAGAATTCTCACAATTGAGAAACAAGAAGATAAAAAATCTTCCAAAAAGTACAGTTGTTACTATAAAACATTTTTCTTATACTTCAAACCTTCTTTCAAAGATCTAACATTAAAAACAAAAACTCACACCTACAAGTCTGTTGCTTAAAATGCAGCTCGATTATTTAGTAAGAATGCAAAAATGTACAATTATTTTTCTAGTAAGAATGCAAAAATGCACAATTATTTTTCTTCTCCTCTACTTCTCTCACTTTTTTTGTAGTTGTTCTTTTTCAATAACAAATCTCTATCTTAACCATAATCTTACTTCTCTCCACTTATTTAATTGATACACAACGAACATATAAGAAGGAAATTCAAAACTCAATACACCATACACTAATCCATATATAATATACATGACAAGATTTTATCAATGTATTTAACAGTGAATTTGGAGATAATTCTAAATTTAATTATTAATACGCATCCACTATTGACTTGGAATTGAGTTAATTAATTTAAGTTCTGTTTTTTACTTTAATTAACTAACTAGTTAATTTAAATTTTGTCTTGTATGTGATCCTGGTATGAATTGACATATACTACGACATGCAGAATGTTCTACTTTTTCTTTGAATCACGGCACAGTAGGGATGATCCTGTTGTTATATGGTTGACCGGAGGACCAGGTTGCGGCAGTGAACTAGCTTTGTTTTACGAAAATGGTCCTTTCCATATTGCTAATAACTTGTCCCTTATATGGAATGATTATGGCTGGGACCAAGTAACCATCTATTTTTGTCTTTCCTTTCCATATTGCTAATAACTTATCCATTATAAATTAATTAACAAGGTTTTTTCTCCTTATTTCTAGGCATCAAATATTATATTTGTTGACCAACCTATAGGGACAGGTTTTAGCTACTCTTCTGATGATAGTGACATTCGTAATAATGAAGTGGGCGTTAGCATTGATTTGTATGGCTTCTTGCAGGTAATTATATATCATTTTTCCAAATGAAAGGTAATATCTTGATCTGTATGATTAAGTAAGTTCCACTAAATTAGTTTTATTATTATTGCAGGAGTTTTTCAAGGCACATTTTGAATTCGTTAAGAATGACTTTTATATTACTGGAGAATCATACGCTGGACACTATATTCCAGCACTTGCATACTTTATCAACCAATCAAACAAAAAAAATCAAGGAATCCATATAAACCTCAAGGTCTTACACTATTTCTAATATAAGAAAAGTTTCTTGCTACAAATGTTGTTTTCGTCAAAATCATACGAAGGTTGATTAGTTAATTATTTTATCTTGATTTTGTTTTGCTTGTATTGATTCATTTTATATAACAATAGGGTTTTGCTATTGGTAACGGGTTAACAAATTCTATGATTCAATACAAAGCATACCCAGATTTCGCATTAGACAACGGAATAATTACGAAGGCTGATTATGATAATATTATCAAGTTAATCCCAAACTGTGAACAAGCTGCTCAAACTTGTGGTACTGATTTTTTTTTTCCTTTTTCTCTCACTACATCCCTTTATACTAATTTATGCTGTTTCACTTTGTGGTGTTTGTGGTTGATTTTTCAGAAACTCAACGTGGACAGAGTTGCAGGACTGCGTTAAATGTTTGTGAAAACATATTATTTGCTATCTTGAACATAACTAACAACATTAATGTAAGTAATAATGAAAGAATAGTACTTTTTTTAATTCCCACTAAACTGTTTGAGAAAATGATGAAGTTTAGTTTGCTTATTGCACACAAAACGCAGTACTATGACATCAGAAAGAAATGTGTGGGATATTTGTGCTATGACTTCCAAAATGTGGAGACGTTGTTAAACCAACAAGACGTAAAAACTGCTTTAGGTGTGAGAGATGACTTGCAATATGTTTTATGCAATAGAAAAGTGCATAAGGCTATGGTGCAAGACTGGATGAGAAACCTAGAAGTGATGATTCCTTCTCTTCTTGAGGATGGAATCAAGTTGCTTGTGTATGCTGGTGATAAAGATCTCATATGCAATTGGCTTGGTAAGCCTACGTGATTCATTTTGGAAGAAAATTGTTTGTGTTGGAAAATTTGTATATATGTTGGATTGAATTCTTTGTGTGGTTGTCATTCGGTAGGGAATTCTTGGTGGGTTCGTGCCATGGAATGGTCAGGCCAACAAAAGTTTAGAACATCTCCTACGCTGAAATTTGTGGTTGATGGTGCAGAAGCAGGTTCTTTGAATAGCTATGGACCTCTCTCTTTCCTCAAGGTTTGTGTTCTTGACTGTGACATATATGTTAATTTCACTTTTGGTTATAACTTTATTTATGTGATACTTGTTGAAAAATAGGAGGCTAATTTTATTAATATACAAGAGCAAATACAAAATATTGGTGCCCCGCACCTCTAGTGATTTTATACTAATACAACACACTCACTTTCTTACACACTCTTCACAATACTATTTTTATTTTGGTGACACACACACACTCAATATATATTTCTCACTTCTCACAAATACATTACTCTCACTCACTACTTATTGGGTTTCTTTTTCACTACTCACATAAGCATGATCTCCCTCCTATATATAGTCTCCCAATAGAAGCTTGCTAGAGGCTCTAGATATTTCTTCACAATTAATGTCTCTAGATATTTCTAACCTTGCTAGATGCTCTAGATATTTCTTCAATTAATATCTCTAGATATTTCTAAAGCTTACTAGAAGCTCTAGATATTTTTTCACAATTAATGACTCTAGATATTTCTAAAGCTTTCTAGAAGTTCTAGATATTTTTTTTTTTAGTTGTTTCCATATGAAGGAATAATCTAGAATAATAATTGATATTTTAACACTCCCCCTCAATTATTATTTTCTCTTATTGCGGACCTAGTTGTCATGCCAAGCTGTTTTCTGAAATTTTCAAATTTCCCAGCACTAAGTCCTTTTGTGAATATATCTGCAACTTGGCCTTCGGTATTGATATACTTCATCTCAATGTCTCCTTGCAATACCTTTTCTCGAATAAAATGATAGTGTACCTCCACATGCTTGGTCCTAGCATGAAACACTGGATTTTTTGCCAATCGTATTGCCGACTGATTGTCACAATGTAGTGTAACTGGATAGTCAATCGGTTGATGTAAGTCTTGTAATAGCTGCATAAGCCACGAACATTCTTGAGCTGCCATAGCTAATGCTCTATACTCTGCTTCCGTGCTAGAAAGAGATACCGTTGATTGTCTCTTACTGCACCAAGATATAGCTCCAGATCCCATAGTAAACATGTATCCAGTCGTTGAACGTCGAGTGTCATGGTCACCAGCATAGTCAGCATCGCAATATCCTGTAACTTCACATGGTGCTCCTTTCTTGTAGAAGATTCCATAGTCAATCGTATTCTTGACATACTTTAATATTCGTCGTGCAGCTTCCAATTGTGGCTTCTTTGGGTTCTGCATGAATCGACTTACTACTCCTACCGCATAAGCTATGTCAGGTCGTGTCAATGTCAAGTAGATCAAACTTCCTACTACTTGCCTGTACATTGTATCATCCTTCAAATCTTGTCCTTCTGCTGAGCAAAGCTTATCATTAACTTCTGTTGGTGTGGAGGTTGGCTTGCAATCGAGCATACCATATCTCTTCAACAATTCTTGGGCATATTTTTGTTGACATAGAAATATTCCGTCTTTTGTCCTTTCAACTTCAAGTCCCAAAAAATGCTTTAATTCCCCAAGCTCTTTCATCTGGAAGCGTACTGTTAGATTACTCTTTATTTGATGAACCTCTTTTTCATCATCTCCAGTGATAATGAGATCATCCACGTACACTAGCACTATGGCCAGCTTACCCTTTTGTTCTTTCACGAATAAACTTGAATCTGCTGGTGCGAGGACGTATCCATTCTGCACCAAGAATTCAGCAATCTTCACATACTATTCTCTAGGGGCTTGCTTTAAACCATATAAAGCTTTCTTTAGTTTGCAGAACTAGGAGAACAAACACTCAGGATCATCAAAATGAGGAACATGTTGAGGTTGTTGATAAAACAGATCTTTCCGAAACGGTTCGATTGTTGAAACAGGAAATGGAGTTGATGAAACAGCAGCGAGAGAGAGATGCAAGAGAGCTTTCGGCCTTAAGAGCCGAAAACGAGGTGTTGAAAAGTCAAGACACTTCCTGGAAACCTACTCATGTCACCAACACACAAACTCAGGGATCGTATCAATCCCATGCAGTCCACACCTCAGCTCCACATGCCTCGGCAGTGGCACCTGGAAAACCCCTCTCGGCCTTACCCACCGTCGGCCGTCCTGCAGACTTGACAACTATTGGATCGCACCGACACCCCTTCACTCCTACTATCATGCAACTTCCGTTGATGGATAACTGGAAATCCTTGTCTATTGATAAATATGATGGTACCACTGATCCTGACGAACATCTTGATGTTTTCTTGACACAGGTGACATTGAGCACAACTGACGATGCTGCCTTATGTCGGATTTTTCCCACGTCACTTAAAGGAAGGGCATTGAGTTGGTTTACTCGGCTCCCTCCCAATTCCATCGATTCCTTCAGCACTTTGTCATCTCAGTTCACCATTCAATTCGCAACGAGTCGCCCTCATAGTCTGACGTCCCTATCTCTAGTCGGCCTTCGCCAAGACAAGAAGGAATCTCTTCGGACCTTTAGGGATCGGTTCAACAAAGCAACTTTGGAGATTAGAGACCTTAACCCAGTCGTCGCACTGCATCATCTCACAACAGCCTTAAAACCGGGGCCGTTTGTCAATAGTATTTGTAAAAAGCCACCTTCGGACATGAATGATCTAAGAAGACGGGCTGACAAATACATGCAGATGGAAGAGTTGGCAGAGTATCGTAATCAGGCCCGAGCTGAATCGTCGAGCAAGATAGAAAAGCAGGCAGAACAATCATACAGGGGGCGAGGCAAGGAGATATCTCTTCGGGATCGGCCTAATCGGGGTCCGAAGTACACTCAATACACTCCACTCAATACCAGCCGTGCTGCGGTGCTTGAACAAGCTCTAGTTTCAGAAGTGTTGACAATTCC